TGTTTGAAATAGGATTTCACAATACAGTTCAGGCTGGTTTTGAACTCAAACTTTGTAGCCCAGGCTGGTGTTGAACTCACAGCATTCCTCCTGCTTCAGCCTCCCTGAGTGCTGGGATTATGGGCTAGCACCACCAGGCCAGGCTACTCTTAATAATAAGTGTATTTGTTTTGTGTTTTTCAAGACAGAGTCTTGCTATGTAGTTCAGGCTAGCCTTGAACTCATGGCGATCCTTCTGCCTTAGCTTCCTGAGTGCTAGGACTAGGGACATGTGCCGCCACATCCAGGTACATTTCTACTCTGTCTCTCCTTTCACTATCCTCTGTTTTCTTAAAAGTGGAGCTCAGAGAAGAGAGTTATGTAAGTGCCTGTCAAGCCTGTGGTTCCTACATCTGATGAATTTTTTTTATGGCAAGTAGCTCAGACAAGAACAAAATAAGCTGCCTCTCAAATTAGGAAGTTCATGGGGCTTCAGATGTGGTTGAGTCAGATTTGCTTGTATGAGAGCCACCAAGTAGAGGAGATTGTATTTATGAGTTTTTTGTTTTTTTTTTTTAATTTTATTTATGTGTGTGTGTGTGTGTGTGTGTGTGTGGCCAGCTCAGCCCACCAGGGGGCGGGGCTGGCTGGCATGTGGTGCTGGGGGATTGAACCGGGGTACCTGTGCTTTGCTAAGCTTGTTCTAAGTAGGTGCTTTAGACCACTGAGCCATCTCACCAGTCCCAGAGATTGTATTTATAAATATAACATAGATAATGTTATCTTAGGGTCTGTGAGAATTTTTTTGAATATTCCTTATTTATCTGTGGGTGCCCAGTCTCTTAAAGACAGGGAAGGTGTGACTGTTGGCCCAGAAAGTAAAAAGGACATTTTAATTCAGCTAACAAGAGGAGAAAAGGCAGACGAACATTCTCTAGGGAGAATCTTTGTGTCTATATATAACTAAAGCTCCTGTAATACACATATGTGAATTTTAGCACGTTTCTGGTCAGGCGGACAGATTTCTGCAGATTGTAGTTAGCATCCTCACTACGCCGAAGTTTTCTTTGAACATGATTTGTACTGTTCTACGAGCTGTACAGTATGCAGGGAAACTGCACAGGTCCTCTGGGAGGCAACTGTTGTTGCCACACTTTGCGCTTAACAAAGCCTTCTTTACAACTGAGCCTTGTTTGAGATGGGGACTGCAAGTGCAGAAGAAAAGGGCGACCTGGATCTATCTTTGAAGTCACCTGGAAAATTGTATGGACGCAGGGACTGTGACTCCAGAAAGCAGACAACAGCGGCAAGCAAGTCTCTGTGCACAGAGTTCACTAATTTTTTTTTTTTTTTTTGGAACCAGGGATTGAACTCAGGCCCTTGCACTTGCAGGGAAGTGCTTATTCCACTGAGCCATCTCCCCGGCTTGTGCACAGAGTTCAGAAAGGGGAAACTGCCATCCCAACGACTCAAAGAGTGAAAGAAGCTGGGCGAGATTTCACCTATGTAATAGTGGTACTCATTGGAATCAGCATTACAGGTGGCTTGTTTTATACGATTTTCAAAGAACTTTTTTCTTCATCCAGTCCTAGTATGATATATGGGAAAGCCTTAGAAAAATGCAGAACACATCCTGAGGTGATCAGTTTCTTTGGTGAGCCTGTTAGAGGCTATCGGGAGATGACAAGACGCGGGCGAAGGCATGTCAATTTTACTGATTATGTAAAAGATGGACTGAAACACACACAGGTGAAATTCTACATTGAGGGCTCTGAGCCAGGAAAGCAAGAAACAGTGCATGTGGAAGTGAAAGAGAATCCAAATAATGGTGAATATGAATTTCGCTACATATTTGTGGAAGTGGAATCCTATCCTAGAAGAACTATTATCATTGAAGGTAATCGATTCCGAGATAATTAAAAGAATCGAGCAAGCATGCTGTTTCCCAGTGGCTGTAGAGTGGTGCAGATTTGTTATGATCTTCATGGCTCTCTTCCAGAATTGTTCAGAAGAGTAAGAAGAGTGTATCAGTGAATGTAATAAGATATTTGATGCATTTAAGCCTTTCCTGTGAAAAATCATGAAATAGACCATAGAGCGTATTTTTAGTATGAATTGTCAATTACGGCAGTATTTCTGCTTATTTAACATCATTTGTGATGAGTTTTTATGGAAATTTTTACACCATGTAAGTAAAATGAATTTAAATATTTTATATTTATATAATTTGGAATCTGTCTTGAAATAAACGTGGAAGTATTTGAGAACTATAGTGAGCTAGAAAGTAAATACATTATAAAAAGGTTGTGGAAATCTTACGATTTAGGAATCTTTTTCTTGATTTCTACTCTATGACCCTAGGCAATATCTACTGTGGAAAGAGAACACAAACCGCTCTCTGGTGAACCAGCTCTCGCTGTGCCTTTTTTTTTTTTTTTTTTTTTTTTTTTTTTTTGGGTTTTTTTTTTTTTTTTTTTTTTGGTGGAACCAGGGATCGAACTCAGGTCCTTGAGCTTGCCAGGGAAGCGCTTATTCCACTGAGCCAGCTCCCTGGCCCTCAAATAGGTTTGTTTTTTTGTTTTGTTTTGTTTTTTGGGTTTTGTTTTTTTTTTTTGGTCGCTGTGCCTTTTCTAGCCAGTTTGCAGGCCTTGCAGGTCCCTCAGCCTCATCAGACCTCCTGTTTCCTGGTTAACTGGTGACTGAGGTGATAGGTACGAGTGCCACGCTGTAGAGGGTCCATGAGGTGTCCCAGCCCCTTTAGAACTTTGCTGATATTTGTCACTGCCAGTAGAAGGTCCAACATAAGTAGTACTTATTCAAATGTGTTTGTGAGGCCCATTTTAAAAAATAATTTTAAAATATGAACACCCTACTTTATTTGAAGTATTTGCTGGACATCTATTAAAGTGACCTTCACTTACGAGTCTTTATCACATAACTAAAGTGTTCTATGTGCTGTTATCTGTGGAGGCTTCACAGTGGGGATTCCTCAGCACTGTTCGTTGTTCTTGAGAACTGGTAGTGGAGAGGTTTCTGATGGATGTTTGAGATCTTAGCATATTTAGGATTGAAAGATCTACAGGAAATTTGTTTCCCTGCTTAGTTTATCTACTAAGTTAGTTAAATTTTTTGTTTAACTGCTCTCTTTAAGTCTTTTATTATTCTAAAAATTTCAAAATATGGGAAGTATTACAACAGAACTTCTGTCTCGGAGAGGGAACATGCTTTCAGCGACAGGGTGAACTCTTAATTTGGGTTCAGTCTCACAGATAGTTTTTCTGTCCTTCCCAGTAGATTGCTTATCATTTATACAGAACTATTCTTTTGTAATGTATAATAAGTTTTTTAAAAGTTTTTAAATGTGACCTGATTTTATTTTTAGCAATAAAAATATACAAGTTACACCTAAAGGGGCTGGTGAGATGGCTCAGTGGTCTAAAGCACCTACTTAGAACAAGCTAAGCTAAACAGAAGCACAGGGACCGCAGTTCAATCCCCAGCACCACATGCCAGCCAGCCCCGCCCCCTGGTGGGCTGAACTGGCCACACACACACACACTAAATAAATAAATTTAAAA